GTGTGTGTGTGTGTGTGTGTGTGTACTCTGTGGCCTGGGTTTGAAGTTGTAAACTAATATTCCTGTTGATTCTCCAGCCAGCGCTACTGCATCTGCAACCCGACGGTGGTGCGACAGTTCAGGAACCCCGACACCATCTTCATCCTGGCCTTTGCAATCATCCTCCTCAACACCGACATGTACAGCCCCAACGTCAAACCTGAGAGGAAAATGAAACTGGAGGACTTTATCAAGAATTTAAGAGGTAAAAAAAGCTAAGATGTTGCACATTTACAGAAAGTAAATGTCGGTATGATTCACTCAACATGTCGTCTCTACAAACCAGTGAGAAGCTTTTAAAGTGGTTTCACTTGTCTTAGCTTAAATAAAAGGCGAGATGATCAGGCCCCGCAGGTACGTTTGAAGCAGACTTTTGATTTTCTAATTGATGTAAATGTTTGCTTTATGCTTATGTCTCGCTGTAATTCAACCAGTCGAACAGGAAGCTAGAACCCTGCCCTTCCTTCGCTTCATAAAACTTATCCAGTGACAGCAGAAAGGTTTAATCAAAGGCTCGTTCAGAAAGAGGATGTTGCAAAAGTCTCATCTTTAAACGCAGATCATTTACTGAAATTAAATTATTCAGCTTTGATTGCTGGTTGTGTTAATAGCTGCATGCCCTGCAAAACAACCTGCTGTAAAATAAAAAAGGGAAGTCGGTCTTATCTGAAAGATAAATTTAAAGGAGAGTCAGGCAGTAAATGTAGTAAAATATGTTAGTATTAACAACACTTACTGTAGTGGTTCTGAGTGGTGTGGGGGTGGCACAACTTAATGCAATGTTGTTTTTTTTCTCCCCAGGCTAGAAATATAGCAGACAGAACTAATGTTGCACTGCCTTGTTGCACTCAGGAGCTATTTTAGGGACACACAAAACAACAAATCTATCTGTTGCTGTTTCTCAACTCAGAGTTTGCATCTGGTGTCGGCTGCATAAACAGCTGTGAATTGGACGGTCTATGGAATACCACGCACTGCCTCGTTACCGTTGTGATACATTTATATCACATGCCTTTAGTTGTTTTCTCACAGTATAATTTCACAAAATTCATTATTATGAAAACGATATACGTAACTAAAAATAAAAACATTAATAATTTGGGTTTAGCTCCAGCATCGGTGCTTGTAGTTGCATTTTATTTAACATCTCATTGCAGCAAAAATTTCATCAGCTAAGTTGCTAAACTTACAATTCTTCATCCCGTGTAACATTTCCAAACTCTAAAAAAAAAACAAAAAAACCTCAATCGTCTTCATTTTTCTATTTAGTTTGCTGACGGTGCAATGAATCCTGGGATATCGTCGCTCACCTAGGATACTCAGATGCTGCCTAAGTTTTGGTGTTTTGTCGGCTACCTGAGTAGGCACCTATGAATTGGGACGGCCTACAGCGCAGGACAGAGACATAACCGCCCTATGTTAGCTGCAGCCCCTGAATTGAGACAGCCTGTAACTATATTTGTTAAAAGAGGGTAAGTTTGGGAACTAGAGAGGTATGCTATCACTAAAATGGAGGATTTTAATCTCTAAACTATGGTGGCCGACAGGTGCAAACAGACCACATTCCCAAGAAATAGAAGGAAGCAAAAACAGAACCAAGAAAACAAATTCGAAGAACCGCCAAGTCCTGAGACCAGACTCCCTCCAACTTCTGCAGCCCCTTAATGTCTTCACTGAGGCTCTGCTCCCGTATGACTTGGTAACCCTAGTGGTCCGGTGCTTTTCTATTTTGTGGAGTTTGCAGCGTTTTTCTTTTCCATTTGTTTAGTTGTGTTTGTATGTTTTGCACTTTGTTCATGTGTTTGCAATGTGTTTTACCATTGCACCTATCGACCACCTTACTAAACTGAGTTAGTTCCTGCTTTAAAAACAATACGATGCAGACCTCCGTCACACATTTAATGCATTGAGCACTAAGCCACTGCAGCTGAGGTGAGTTTCCTCGATGCCTCGACGCTCGCTTCAGTTCTAAAAGCTCAAGTTGCTGTAGGTGTTGATTAGCAGCAGGAGCCTGTTTGAGCGTCTTTGTGAGATTTCACTATTTCTGCTGCATTAGTTCTTGGTTTTATTGAGTTTGTCTAGTTTGCCTGTATTGTTACTAATCATGCAGTTATTTAGGGTTCAAGTACTTTAAGCCACACTAAAGTCCATAAATTGTTTCTTTCAAATGTGTCATATATAATTAAATGACTGGTGCATCTCCCTGCATTCAAAATAATAAAGAATAAAACCAGAAACCAGAGCTGTATGTTCTGATTCACCTCCAAGTTTTTATTTTTTATTTCTAATGAAGTAAACTTTTTTTCTCGTGTGTGACGCAGTGCCTGAGCGAGTTCTGTGTGTTTCAGGTGTGGACGATGGCGAGGACATACCCCGAGACACTCTGGTCGGGATCTACGAGAGGATCCGAAAGCGAGAGCTCAAGACCAACGAAGACCACGTGTCTCAGGTGCAGAAGGTGGAGAAGCTCATCGTGGGCAAGAAACCGGTGAGGAATGTTGATTGTTTTTCTGTTGCCATCACATAAATTCAGATTAGTTTTGTTTCTCTCTCTTTACATTTCAGACTCCCATCAGTGGTGTATCATGAACCCGCCAGACGTAAACTGATCTAAGATCAATAAAAGCAGCTTTGCCACTTTCATCCATTTTTCTAGTCACTAAATTGAAGCATTTGAGGAACAGAAAGTCATGTGTGCCTCCAGGGTATGTGAGACTAACTGCAGGCCTGGGTTTAGACCTTCACGCTGCTGGTTTTAATGCACCCGAAGCCCTGGAGAGATTCCTCAGTGCTGCGGTCTGAGTTCACGCCACCATCTTAGCGCTTTATACACCCAGCATGGTTTTAAAGGTTGTGACTGCAGTGCCGTCACACACACACACACACACACACACACACACACACACACACACACACNCACACACACACACACACACACACACACACACACACACACACACACACACACACACACACACACTCAGCTTCATGCTGTCAGTAGTAGAAGCAGCGTTTCTGCATTCCTCTGCCTGCAGTAACGTCTCTGCCATGTGTGAAGGTTAGAGGGCTGATTACCCTGCGCCGCTTTAGGGAGTGGTTTCGGCTCAGCTCGGCTCACGTGGAGGACCTGGTCTGACTCTGCTCCCAGAAGGAGTCTCCTCTGCTGAGGCAGATTCAATTAAACGTGCTGAAAATGAGTTTGTTGTTGCCGCTCATCTGCCTAATTAAAGACTCCCGGTGTTATGTTGACATTAAGGCTTGTAGGAATTTCCTCTTCGTAATTATCAGATCCAAGCGACGATGCAGTCCTCTCCATCCTACAGAACCAATCAAAGCATCTTTGCCATTCTAACGGCCATTTTCTTTGTCCTCCTCCATTTTTTTTAGATTGGATCTCTCCACCATGGCCTGGGATGTGTAAGTAGTCTGATAAGCTGCCTTTGTGTGCAGCTTCCTAATCGTTTCCTTACATTGCTTCTGTTCCTTATTACCCTGTAGACTCTAAAAGGTTTTAGCTTCCTTCTTTTTTTTTTCTTTTAGGTGCTGTCGCTGCCACATCGTCGCTTGGTGTGTTACTGCCGCCTGTTTGAAGTGCCAGATCCCAGCAAGCCCCAGAAGCTGGGCCTGCATCAGCGGGAGATCTTCCTGTTTAATGACCTCCTTGTGGTAAAAACCCTCGTCTTTTTTTCTTTCTAACTTTCCCCCCTCTTCAGTCCAACTCTGTAAGTAATCTCTTTTTATGATTTCAGATTACAAAGATTTTCCAGAAGAAGAAGAATTCAGTCACATATAGTTTCAGACAGTCCTTTTCTCTGTATGGGATGCAAGTCATGCTGTTTGAAAATCAGTGTAAGTAACCTGCAGCTGACGGTTCGATGGTTAATAATGTGTTGTTTAAACCTTTTAAACATCAGAAATGTGTTTTTACTTCAGTTTTTATTCATGAGCCGTCTTTGCTCAATGATTGCTCCAGATTACCCAAATGGAATCAGACTCACGTCGGCGATCCCAGGTGCGGACATCAAAGTGCTCATCAACTTCAACGCACCCAACCCCCAGGACCGCAAGAAGTTCACAGATGACCTGCGAGAGTCCATCGCAGAGGTGCAGGAAATGGAGAAATACAGAATAGAGTGTAAGACGGCTTCGCTTTCCTGCCCCATCCCCCTTCCTACTTCCTCTGACTAAATGAAGCAGAACTCAGCTGCATCAGTTTACAGGGGAGAGGGTTAGCAGGAGTTCACCACCAGGCTGTCTGAAAGGACGCTACTTGGTTCTGAGCATATACAGGTGTTGCATGTAGAGGCAGTAATGAAAGCCATCCAGTGGCTGAAAGGTGAGGGTGGAGTGATAATGATTATGCCCACGGCTGGATGCAGTAGAGGTGTAGCAAGACATTGATCCACATCCATCATCTATGAAATGATTAACAATTAAATTACATCAAGACAAAGTGAAAAAAAATTATTCATATCGTCATCATATGCCGATGTGTTTCGATATCATACGCCCACCTAACACGATTGTGTTAGACGGGCATATGATATTGCATCATAATGATCGCAGACTTGTGAATTGAATTCAATCAAAATCGAATCGAAACAGACTTTGTGATATCGGGAACTATCATATCGTCATCCAAACAATTCCATAAACTATCGCATCATGTTAAATCTGATGATTTACACCCCTAGAATTTAGTGTTGCCATCTAGATTTAGCAAGTTTTCAGATTCCACAAATGTTTGTTTATTTATTTATTTATTTATTTTTCTTCAAAAAAAATGACTAGTGACAAATTTAGCTACTTTTTACTGTTTTTGGAAACTTTGGCGACAGCTTTGTCCTTGGCAAGCAGCATGTAGTGCCGTAATCCCCTCCGCTTTCTCAAAACACTGACAAGTGGTCTAAAGCCTCACGCAGCAACCAGAGCTGCTGTCAGAGCAGAGAGGAGACCCACTCCACTCCTCATCCACCACTAATGCGCAAAGCAATCACTGCTCATGATCTGCTTTCCAAAGCTGGATGTAATTTTTATTGTAATTTTTTTTTCTTTTTTACTGACAGTAACACACTACAATAAATCCCTGGACTCTCTGGAGCTTTAGTCACTTCTTCATCTGGTCCACTGGGTGTGCCATTGTGTTGGTTAAATTTTATATTCCCACAAAATTAATTTATGTAATGTGGATCAATAAAATCATTGACTTCATTTGCAGTTCCAAACATATTTAGTGTTTTAACTCTTTAGCGTTCTTTCCTACAGCGTAGATCACAATTATTGGCAAATGTCCAAATATGCATAGGAGGTGGTGATGTCCTTTATTATTATTATTATTATTATTAAGCCGTTATTTAACCAAGTAGAACCATTAAGATTAAAAATCTCTTTTTCAAGAGAGAACTGGTCAAGAATGACTGCAGCACAGACATTACCAAATCCATAACCACAGATATTAAATTACAATTAAATACATTATAATAAAGGAGTTGACTTGTAGCAGCTTTTAGAACAGCCAATAGCAACCTTTCTCACTGAGGAGTTGGCAGCAGTGGCTGTATGTGTCTTTGTGTGCACCAAAATTACATGAACTGTTAAAAGTTTTGATAAAACCTTAGGGTCAACTTTGTCAGTTTTACAGATATTAACCTAAAATTTTGTGACTTTTGTAGTTTATTTGTGATGTTTTAAGCACAGACAGGCTGCACAAGCACTATGTTTAAAATCTACTAAGAACAATTATGTTTTTTGGCAAAATATCTCTCCAACCTCTGAACAGATTTTAACTAAACTCTTAGGAAATAATCAGTGGATGTACGTTTACAACTCATTAACTTTCTGAGTCAGTCCAATTCAAGATGGCCACCACAACTAATTGACTTTAGCCAGCACAAAATGGCTACAACCGCTCACCTCTGTGTGTTCTTGATTCCACAGCGGAGCTGGAGAAGCAGAAGGGCGTGGTGAGGCCCAGCATGTCGCAGAGCTCTGGCCTGAAGAAGGAAGCCGGAAACGGGAACATGAACCGCGCCAGTCTGGACGACAGCTACGCCATGGGTGAGGGCCTGAAGAGGAGCGCCCTCAGCAGCTCTCTGAGGGACCTGTCTGAAGCAGGTATGGCCTGAACGTCCTCTGCTTCTTGTTTTAGCCGCTGGAGAATGACTCTTTTTATCATCCTTTTCTCTGTGAGGAGTTCAGGGGATAAAAATAGCAAAATGTTGATCCACTGCACCATACATTGATTTTTAAAGCTCGATTTCGTTAAATCCATTAACTCCTCCCTCGTGATTGGATGGTTTTGGTCTGGAAGGTGTTTCTGTCAGTGTTTAACGTTTTCATTTTTGGCAGCTTTTCTAAGATTTGCCTTCTAAGAAACGACACTGAAGGAAAGTACTCACCTGTTTTCATTTGAATACATTTCTTTCCAAACATTTTCATCAATGTTTTTATCTTTTTTATTATTATTATTATTATTATTATTATTATTATTATTATTATTGCCAAGCATTTCTGCATTATTCAGTTTGTTATATTCAATGACATTTCATAAAAACTTCTGTTTCAGCCCAAAAATCATGTGTCTTCTCCTGTCCACTACAGAGGCTGTACAGTTTGTCATAAGAATACATGATCTGTGTTTACTTGTTTTATTGGACGGCACAACCTTGAACAGTACAAGATTTCCCACTAAAATCAGCGAAAGATGATCTTTTATGATACAACTGACTCAAAGGACACGTAACATATGGAGTCTAGGTGATTGCTACAATTTAAAATGATTTTCATTAAAAGACAGAACAAGGGGTTTGAGCCTCGGCTGGGAAAAATAAAAAATAAAAAACCTCGACTGTTTAGTTTGGACCGCTCCCCATAACCCTGTGGTCCAGGAAACTAGCCCTTGGAACCACAAACCCTGTAACTAGGACCAACATTAACTCCAAAACCCAGCAGACGATCAAGAAACAACCAAGAAGTGGGAGCGTGGAGCTAGAGCATTGAACCAACAACCATCAGATCAATGCTCTTTTAGCAGGCAGACCTTGTTTCTTTTCGAGTCTCAGCAGCCGATCGTATCAGGAAGCAGAGGACACATCGAATCGTAATAATAATAATAATAATAATAATAATAATAAACCTTTGCTTTTCTATCGTTTCCCAGAACTGAAAGTCTAAATGGACCTTAGTGACTGTAGTCCTGCATGGACGTACTTATAGACCCTTGAGTGGACTCAGTGTGGCTCCACACACACTCGATTCAGCAGAGAGACTCTTGTTTGGTACTGTTCACACATCTGTATGTTAACCAGCCTTATACTGCTCAAGGGCCTCGTAACCTTTGAGTCCCTCCTCTGTATAAAACCAAGGTCGGTTAATTAAGTAGTTGTAAATTACAACACATACTCTGAGCGTTGGCAAATCCTTCATGTGAGATTGCTGCTTGAATGCTGTTGGCCAACTAGCCACTGCCTAAATATTGTGTGATTGGAAAGTGCTCCCAACGTTTCTGGTAGCTCCATATTTCAACCACTTTAACGAGGAAAAGCTCCGGACTTTTACAGCAATCCTTCACACATTCATTCACACACTGATGGGGGTAAGCTACATTGTAGCCACAGCTGCCCTGAGCACCCTGACAGAGGCAAGGCTGCCATGCTCTCGCACCACCTGACCCTCTGACCACCACCACCAGGCAACACAGGTGAAGTGTCTTAACCAAGGACTCGACGACTGAGACGGACAGAGTAGATCAAACCGTCAACTCACTGGTCACAGGGCAAGCCCCTACGTTCTGCCACCACTTTTAGGTTTATCTTTGGGAAATAATGGAGAGGCCAGTTTGTTTTGTCACCTGGATGATTTGTACAGCACAGTGAGCAGACCAGGACTGTTTCTCTCCATCTCCATCTTCTGCCTCTTATCCATAATTGAGTCACAGAGGCAACCAGTCCAGGACAGAAACCCAGACATCCCTCTCACCAGAGACACTTTCCAGCTCGACCTGGAGGAGCTCGAGGCGTTCCCAGGCTGAAGAATAGTCACAATCCTTTTTGTTCTTCCAGTGGGGCATGCCCAGAAAACCTCTAAAGGGAGGCGTCCAAGAGGAACCCTAGTCAGATGCTCAAACCACCTCAACTGATTTATTTCGATGTGGAGGAGCAGCGGCTCTACTCCGAGCTACCCCCAGGTCTTCACCCTCTCTCTAAGGCTGAGCTTGGCCACCCAAAGAACACTTGTATCCAGGATCTTGTTCTTTCAGCCAGGATCCACGCATCATGATCGCAGGTGAGGTTTGGACCACAAACAAACCCGTAAATCAAGAGCTTTGCCTTTCGACTCAGCTTTTTCTTCACCACGACTGACCGAAGCAACGCTCTCATTACTGAGGACAAGGCCCCAATCTGTCGATCCATCTCCTGCTCCATCCTCCTAAATGAGACACTCAGATTAACCTTCTCCACCTGATGTATGAAGGAACTATTAACTGATTTTAGTGGGAAATGTAGCCGTTTTTACCAGGAAACACGAGGTGACGAAATAAAGTTTGCCATCCGGTGATGCAGGTGTTTCTCAGATTCAAACCGGACAGCCTCTGTAAGCAGATGTTGATGTTTAACATCCTGAAGCAGCAATGAGACTTTGTCTCTCGTCCACTTCATGTCCATGTATATCAGTGTAAGGCCTCCTCTGTCCCTCGGAAGCAAGAATGCCATTTCATTCATCCCAGACAGCAGCTGTGTGACGTTATCATGTGATTTGACCTGATAACACAGAGAACATGATTTTCTTTGTTTGCACCGATCACCGCTTCAATGTGGGGGGAAGAAAAAAACGAGTCAAAACACAAAGGAGTTTGTAGCTGTCTCTCTGTCCTCCTGTGTTTTTCAGTGCAGGACGTGGCATGTTAGTGAAGTCATTTTTGTGTTTTTGTTTTTCTCTCCTACCATCCTCATTCCATGTGCATTTTTTACCGTCCATACACATCCAGGTATTTTCCTGTTTATGTGTAATTATTGGTCATATATCACTGACTGACTGAGCCAAAGGAACAAGGCCGAACATCTACGTCCTCCCTCAGACCCACACGTAGCCCCCCCCACCCCGCAGCAGAGACTGGATTTTTGTCACTCCGCTATTAAACACGGTTGACATTTTGTCGACATTCTACCTCTGCATCGTGACAGGATTGTAGAAACAGGCAGCAGACCTTTGGGTGGAGCGTCACTGTGGACATTTGCTGTCTAAATTCTGAATCACTACTTAACTCAACACTCAGATTTAAACTATTTAAATGGCTGAAATTGGAGTTTTCCTCTTGGGTGAAGCCTCGACTTCACCGTAAAGTCCCTCCACCTTCTCAGACCTGAATGCCCACTTGCACTGCCCCCCTCCTCTCTGGTGGGAGGCCTAAAAAGAAAAAAGGAAAAATAAATACATGTCTGTAGTCGATCCAGAAGTGCTGTCGATCTCTAATATTTGGTATTGCATGTCTCGGGCAGGCAAGCGTGGGCGTCGCAGCAGTGCAGGATCACTAGACAGCAATATGGAAGTAAGTTGGAAGCAGCTGGTATCCGAGCCACGCTCTTATGTGATGATGTGCACTGTGAAACACTCCATTTATTTTGATTTATTTATTTATTTTTTTGGTCTTACACCTTTTTTGCTCCATAGACTCAGTCCATTTGTTTGGATCATTTCTTTATTTTTCTCGATGGGATGCCTTTATAACCTGCTTGCCTCAGTTAGTGTGCATGCATGGGTTGCCTGCCTCTGATCCTGCCCCCTTACTTTATTATTATTATTATTTTATCCAGAGTTCTCCTGGTTTTGGTCATGTTATATGACCAATATACACTTTTACCCTCATACAAGCATGACTTCCACTAATGCCTCCTCTGATCTCTCTCCACCCCGCCCTCCTTGTCGCCTGTCTCTGTCTTTCATTCAATCACATCCAAACGGTTTTCATTTGGTTCTTCTCTTCGGCAGGGTGGTAGCTCTGAAAGACACTAGGAAACTCTTCATTTCCTGCAGCCTCTCTCCCTGTCTGGGTCTGTCTTTTTTGTTTCTCTCTCTCTCTCCCTCTACCTCTCCCTCCCTCTCTCTCTCTCTCTCTCTTATCCACAACTTTTCTTGGATGCTGTGAGGTTCAGGGAGGAATGTAGCCTTCATAATAAGAGATGGGCTTTTCAGATTTCACTCATTCATTTTGCTCACTCATTTCACTTGTTCACAAAGCCTGGGACCCTGGAAGTTTTACCCTTTCAGAGACTTTAAACAGTCTTTCTCAGTCTTTCCGAAAAAATAAATGTTTTTAAAAAAGTTGAATTAGGTCCATTTTTTTAATTGAACCGTGTTGGAGCCAAAGCAGGAGGCAGAGTGCCCTGCCTTGTTGTGAAGTCTGCACACGAGCGCTCAGTTCCTCCTGCCCTCTGACTTGTAGTTGAATGTGTGAATGATGAGTTTGCCCGTCACACCCCTCTGCATGCGGGAGCCGTGCCTTCGTTAATAAGAACACTCTGCATGTGTGACTCCTGTTACGCGCATTGACGGTGGAACGTGTCTTTTTTTTCTTTTGAGCCGTTGGTGTCGTTCGTTTTGATCGTGAGCGTGTTTCTGTTGCAGATTTCCTGTTTTTAAACGAGCTAACAGCAGAGTCTCTTTGAATGTAGCCCCTCCCCCTTTTTTTTGTGATGAGGTTTTTCCAAAGGTGAAACACTCCTGCTGCCTATCATTAAAAAAAACAAACATGTTTTTTTTTCCTTTTTAGTTTGTCATTTGCATGCCGTGTAACATTTTGCTACTTCTTTATCTGAGTTGGGTAAAGTTGAGTTTGTCTGGGTTGTTAGTTTGTTGGATGTTGCGCAGAAGCTCGGTGTCTGATGATGCCTCTTTTCCCTCCCCGCAGGGGTCCATCATTAGCAGTCCGCACACGCGACGGAGAGCCACTACGCCACGGGAGGGCTCCTCCCGCGGCCATCCCCCGCTCCCCAACTCGGCGTCCACGTCCATCCTGGGGTCGCTCTTCGGCAGCAAGAGAGGGAAGTCGCCGTCGCAGGGCCAGCCCCCTCTGGTGCCGCCGGGCCACCCCACCCTCATATCGCACAAGCCCCACCCGACCAACCTGCACCACACGGCGCAGGTCGCACAACACGTGGCGCCGGCCCCGCACCATGCCCACCACTCCCAGTACTGCCCGGCCCCGCAGAACCCGCCCCCGTACCACCACCACCACCACTACCACCCGCCGCCGCACACGCAGTACCACCAGCACCCGGCCTACTCCTCCTCCTCGCACGCGCCCCCTTACTCGCAGCACAGCCACTACGGCCAGCACCCGCACCACCCGCCCCACGCCCACCACCACGGCCAGCAGGCGGCGGCGGCGCACGGCGGCGGGCCCAAACACAAACACAGTGGCATCAGCACCGTAGTGTGATGCTGCAGGACAGCCGACGCAGCTGGAGGAGAACTTTCAACGAGGAAGGACAATCGCTCACACCAAAGGGACTGACAGCATAACTCTACGGCCTGCCCACTGTGTTTCTGCTGCTGTGATTGGACGCCAGCCACACGCAGCCACCTTCCTCACTTCCAGGTCCAAAACAATATGCAGGATAGGAATCGGACTCAAATCTTCCAATAGGGGCCTTTTTCAGTTTGCCTGATCTGCGGGGGGTGGGGGGGGGGGTGCTCTTTACTGGTCCCGTCGGGGGGGTTTTTTCTTTTTTTTTTCCGTGTGCGTCGGTGGAGGTCTGCACACACTCACAGATACACACAAACACACACACCGCCCAGCTGGACAGCTCCAGAGGAAATGTGTCGTCTCTGCTCCCCGCCGCCTCCGCCTTCACGTAATCAGGAGGAAAGACGAGCTCGGACCAGAACACCACAGACTGCTCTCACCTTCCTGTGCACAGCTCTTTTGGAAGTCTTCAGTTTTGCAGATTTTTACGTTCCGGGGAACGCTAATAGTCGCTGCCTCCCGTAGAGCTCTTATACAGCAGAGAAAACAAACCTCGATATAATCACGTCACACTAACTTCAAGTGAAAGGACCGGTCAAACAAGTCATAGTAGTTCTAGTTGCTGTATTTACTGTAGATGACTGCTATATGTCCTGTGTCCTAGCTCTCATAAATAAATGTGCCAATTATTAATGCATAATCTATTTAGTCAAGACTTTATGTACAGTGTATTGTGTGTAAAGTAATTTGTAAGATTACACTTACAGTTATTATCGGCAACAATGACTTTTTTATCAGTATTATACTGACGCTGCGGCGACAGGACGGAGGTCCGGACGGAGTGAGCTGGAAGATGTTTGGGCCGGTCGCAGCCGGAGCCTCAAACAGCCGAGGTTTTCTGTAAGCCGCGCTGTTTCGGCTCACCTGGCGGCTGCTTGAACCATCTAAAGATTAACGACGGAAAAAAAGAAAAAAGACAAGACGACGTTTTCAGCCCGTTAAGGTTGGGTTGCTGTTACATTTGGTCCCAAACGAAGGTCGTTTTTCCAACAGTTTGTTGTCTTAGAAAATATGCAACAGCTGAATTTTTGGCTCTTGAAATCAAAAATTGAGAAATTTTCTTCCTTTTTTTAAAATATATTTAGCCTTGTTTGAATTCCTATTATTTTCTCATCCACCGATAAGATTTGGTGAGTGACTAAAACCCGTTCTGCTTATTATATGTGCAATATCTTTGTACTGATTTTGTACATCCAGCAAGGTCTCCCTCCTGTTTGTGCACGTTTTCATGTCACCAGATTTATTTATTTATTTCTAACCCGCCTGTAAATTAATGTCTGTTCGTCCTCCCTGTGTCTTCGGAGGTGGAAAGTCTCGTTAAATCAGTTTTTTTGTTTGTTTGTTTTTTTGCATGTGATGTTTTTGGTGTGAGGCTCTCCTCTGCACATTGTTGAACAAACCAGTGTTACCATAGAAAGTTTAAGTGCAATCATGTTTGAAAAAGGAATAAAATAAAATAAAAAATAAAAACACAGACTTGTGCTTAAGAGTAAAAGTCTAGGATGAGATTCAGGTGAGATTTAAAAATAGTTATTTTTTGTCCATTTAAAACTATAAATAAATACTTAGCGAGTGGAACGAAGAATGTGTGTATATATTTTAATAAAAAGGAACAAACTGTACGCCTCTCCTTGGGCTGAACGGAAATATTTTGCTGGACAAGCACATTAGGAAGAACACATTTTTGTTTGTTTTTCAGGAAATGCAGTTCTAACATACAAAATGCAAGTTGAACAAAAGAACTAGGTAGATGTAAAAAAAAGAAAAATATCTTTCTATATTCTACAAATAAGAGTCTATTCTAGTGTGTAAATTAGTGACAGTAAACTGTTTGTCCCAATATTCAGGTTGTAAATGTATTTTAATATTCATGAAGTAAAACCACAGTCATGAGTCGGGCTTATAGACTTTTTTTTTTTTTGTTTCCCTCAACGAAACGATGAAGATGAAGAGACATATCACATGCAGGGACATTAATGATCAGCTGAATGTGTCGCTCCCGGGGTTTCATGTTCGGGAATCTTGGAACGACAGGAAACCGGTGCATCTGTTTATTTTGTTTGTTTGTTTGTTTGGGTTGTGTTGTAGTGCTTTCACATGTCTGCGGTCCTTAACGAGAGCGTACCCCAACAATGCACTGCATGGATCTGATGCATCATGTTCACTGTGAGCTGATGGGGAAGAAATCAGCCTTTAAATCTGGTCTTGTTTTGTTGTTTTCCTTTTTATTTATTTTTATTTTTGGGGGGGGTGGGGGGCAGTTTCTGATTGAGTTGGAACTTTCTGATGTTGATGTGTTCTTGTTGTTCCATGTTTGCCTGGTTATTGAAGCTCAGCATGCATTTCATCGATGAAGCCATGGTGTAAATGATGAACATGAAGAACAGGGCTTTCATTGTATAAATACGAGATTTCCGAAGCGCTCGGCGAGAGATTTTAACTTTGTGAAAGACTGTAAAGGGACCAAAAAACTGGGGTTAAAGGAGGTGTAAATAATGTCTATAGGATCCATCCTGACACCTGCAGCTCAGATCGGGATGTAGAGGCACCCGCCCTCATGGATGGATGAAGTCGGAGGGGGGTGCTGATTGAACATATCGATTGTCTTCGCCTCCTGCTCTCATAAAACCGACATTTGCTGTGGAAATTTAAAAAACAGACTGTTAAAGTGTGCTGCCACTCACGTCCGGCTCTACACACACACACACGAGTACACACACATTCGGCCGCGAGCTGTTCAGTCTGACGTGAGACGTGTTTAGAAGAATGGAAATGACCGGAAAGGCCTCATTTAAATGTGCATTCTGTTTGTACAGTGAATAGTGAGTCAGTAAAGACCCCAGTTATTGTAAAACTTCAACTGTGACAATGTTGAGAACGCAAAATAAACAAATATATGACTTATGGTACACTCGCTGGGTCTCTCTTTATTTCTCAGTGTTAGATTTCTGCTGAGTCAGGCAGCTGTTGTAACAAATGTTTCTTGTGTAATTCTTCTCTTTCAACAGCGTCTGAGGCTGGAGCATCAGTTCAGACCTTCTGTAGTCGGGTTCAGTGTGGGAACGAGTGTTTAAAGCAAAAATACTCTTCAGATTCGTTGGTCAGTTTTTATTTATTTATTAATCTTTATTTAACCAGGCAAGCCCCACTGAGATCACTCATCTATTTTGCAACGGAGGCCTGGAGGCAGAGCCTAACATGCAACCTCCATACAAAAAACCCTGAACTTCTCATTGTGAGGCAACACTTCTAACCACTGAGATGCCGTTTTGTCAACTTTTTCTAAGGGTCGACTAACAAACCGAGCTTCACGTGCAACAAATTTGAACCAGAGAAATTACTTTTTCTGCAGAAATGTAACGTGAAAGCTGAGAATGTCTTTAAAAATTTGTTGATGAAGCTGAATCTGGGTTAAGTATCACAGCATTAAAAAAACTGTAGCTAAATACAACAAAACATTAGCTAAAAGGAAAAAAAAATAGCTAAAATTGCTATATTTTTGAATGCATAAATGTATATGTGGAACAATGTACAAATAAAAGAAACCTACTAAACGAAACAAAAAAGGATAAATAAAATATTGTAGCATGAGGTTTATAAGGGGGTCCCTGGAAGGTTTCCACACTTCTCCCTAGACCAAAAATATTTGAGAACCCCTACTCTAGATCAGTTCCCAAAGTTAGATTTGTGAAGCATCAAATTAGGGTCCCTTGGATGATCTCCACAAATCAAATTAAAGGTAATAAAACATGATGAATGAATACTTTTCCTATAATTTATTTAGAAAACTCAAAATATCAAACAGCATTGCTGTAAAAGCTGTTTAGATTTCAACTCATGTTTATTATAGGGTTATTGACAGTTTGTGAACTCAGACCAGTATAATTTCGGGTCACATGGACATTTTGTGGGTTAGAAGGTGAAAACATTGCATTACACTAAAGGATACAAAATGAGAGCTAAAAGATAAAATTAGTTCGCCTTTAAAAGCTAAAAGTAGCATAAGAAGATAAAAATAGAGCTGGTAAGTCAAAGACCAACTGCTTTAAAGGATCTGGAGATCTGTATATTTAATAAAGATGTTTTTTTAATAAAGCTAAGTATTTTAAAAGTGTATAAATGTTACAAAAAACAAAATTCATAGTCTGATCAAGCTGAATTATTTGACATTCGAATGGTTAAAATTGCATGTTTGCAGAAGTGGTGATTCATCGAAAAGGCTACAGAAGAAAATAAACTCATTGAAGTGTGAAAGTGCATTCAGTAGCTAATTCATACAACTTGAGAGATTTTTCACAATGTGCTGCTTTACTCAAAACACGGGAGTCACAACAATAACAACCAGCTGATGTGAAAAGATACAAAAAGAGTCAGGTGAACTGCTGGCAACATAAAATCAACAATGTTCTGTGAGAAGCATCTGTCTGACTGGATGAACATCGATTTTAATTAGATTTCTTAGAGACCTTTGGGTTCGATTTAGTAAACTAAGTTTATTAGCGTTAACTTCAAAAAGTCACATTTAAACTGAATGAGTCCCAGCTCTCTGAAGATGACTTTGCAAACTGACATGTACAGGTGCTGGTCATAAAATTAGAATATCATGAAAAAGTAGATTTATTTCAGTAATTCCATTTAAAAAGTGAAACTTGTATATTATATTCATACATTACATACAAACTCATATATTTCAAATGTTTATT